AAGGTCAAAAAGGTAGCCCCCCCCAAGGCAGCCTAGAACCTAGAAGGAGGGGGGACAGGAAGCTTTCAACTACTTTAAATTAAATGCTTCCAGCACCTGATCTGGGTTATAGCAGTGCAGAGTTATGGATCAAGACTTTGCTCAATGCTTGTAAACTACTTTGAGCATTTATGTTCCATATATTTTAGATGCTATCATCACATATATTAGAATTAAATTTTGGGAAGAAATTATGCACAGCACTGTTAAGGCAATTGTAATCACAGTAATAAAAAAAACAAGTGCAATCATTAGAAATGCCATCCCATACTGAAAGAGGTAATAATTATCCGGGTAAAGGCAAATCCCCTAGACATCAACTTTGCCCATATCTCAACTGCTGATAAAAGTGAAGATAAGGAAATAAAAATCCATGAGGAATACCACATTTCATGAAGAGGAACTTTAATGCTAAGAGAGGCAAAGGAACCAGCAGAGATTTTGTTGGAAAATATGGACTAGGAGTATAAGATAAATATGGAAAAGAATTACACAATTTTGTGAAAAATAAGAACTTATCACCAACATCACATTAAAATTATCACTGAGAAGACTATATGGGGAATCCCTGTTGGAGAGCAATACCATAAGAAATCAAGTAGATAAAATTTTAGTAAATGACAGACACCAAAACAGTGTTAAGTCGGAGAAAAGATTATCATGGAACTGACATAAATTTACGTTTCAGTACTGCTACCACATTAAGAGCTGTCTATAAGACTAATGGACAGGAAGAATGACCACCAGCATCTTTCGTGCTCAAGAAGGTCAAGTCCTGAGCGGTCTGTCATATGGTCATGGAAGACGTTGAGATTCATAATCTTGCTGACTGTTAGGCTCTTACAGAGGGACATCTCCTAAAGAACTAGATCTCCCAGGAAGCTTTGCAGCACCTTTGTATTTTAAAAAATTGACATCAGAAAGCAAATGCTGGAGCAGCTGATGGTGGGAACATGACAGCATCAAAGGCAAGTACCTCAAAAGCTCTTCTGGTAGATGCGTGGGTGGGGTGGAGGTCTACAGTTTTGTTTGTCTATTGAAACTGCCAGAATTCTTGAAGCTGTAGTCCAAAACCATGAAAGAGCACGTTCCCAGTTGAAAATCAAATAATATAGGACAGAGATATAGAGAAAAGTATGGTAAATACTTATACTCTTGCCACTGTTTTTCAACTGTACTCTAAAAACAGAGGAAAGCACTTTGTTGATTGAAAAGACAGCATCAGTTTCAATGGACAGTCTACTAACAACTTGTGAATTGCAGATGATATTACTAGCTAGCAGTTAGGTGGTCTGTCATATTTACTCCACAAAGTGAATGAAGTAAGTAAGGATTATGTGTTAAAAATCAATGTTAAGAAAACCAAGTTCATGGGTTTCATTAAAATATAAGCAATCTAAGATGTGCAACTAAAAGTCAAAATGAAAATATGAAGCATGCTGACAAATGCAAGTACCTTGGAATATGGCTCAATTAGCAGTAGGAGCATAGCGAAGTGATAAAAGTCAGAAAAGAGCAGCTTCCTTAAAATGTAGAATGCAATGTGCAATCAAAAACTAAAATTGGTTTTGAGAGTGTTCATTCTATTGTTCTCTATTTTCTTCTATTCTCTGTGACTTGGAATTTTGGACTTTATATGCAGAGTACTAGAAAAAAAAGAGACACCTTTCAAAATGTGGATTTCTTGTTGGATGTTATGAACTGGAGGCTACCAATATCCTCTTATTGGAAGATGGCCAGTGAAGAAGTATTAATAAGAATGGTGTATGCATGGAGGAGACAGATACTGTAAATGATACAATTCACAAAATGCATAAAACATTTAAAACCAACACTACTGGCTTGACTTTGCAGCCTTCATTTTGAAGCCTGGCAAAGACATCTCGTCATCCTTAAAAAAAAACCCCTGTGTTTTTTTCCCT